GTAGTAAAGCGGATTTTCCCCATTCAATCATCGTTTTACAATCGCAATAGCGATCGCAACAACCTCATCATGAAGCGATTTCGTCGTGAAGCGGGGTAATCATCAAGCGGGGCACCACTGTACCGCTAAACTTTTCCAGTTTTCTAACATCTTTTTAAGGAGAAAATAATCTTCTTTCTCTTTCTCTTTTTCTTCATATCATCATGCCAAAGGCCAGGCTGGGAAGAATTCCCCGCCCTTTTTGACGACATGAAACAGACAATCAAGCAGCATATGAAACAAACCAAAGATTTCCTCCAGGCCATCTATCTATAGGCCACTCCACTCCCCATGTCCACGGGCCCTTTGACCAGTGTACACTTATACCTAAGACATGGACCTGATTGATACCTGTTTTTTCTGAATTGCAGATACATGGAGCGAGTGTGCACTGTTCAAAGGGCGAGCCTAAGCAATGACCAGCTGCTTGTGCACAAGCTTTCTTAATACAAACAGGCCTGTCTCTTCTAAACTATTAAAATTTGTGGTTTTTGTTATGGCCCAGTCCTTGTGGAACGGACTTCCACCGGAGGTATGCCAGGCCCCACTCCATCAAAATCTTCAGGACGTTAGTGAAGGCGGAACTGTTCGGAGAGGCCTCTGGTACCATTCTTTCTGTGAACTACTCATGACTCTTAACAGCTCTTACTAATAACATCTAGTGGTTCTTAAATCTTTTTAACTTCTAATTCTCTTAGATTGTTTTTATTTTTATTGGTATTTTTATGTAGCCATCGTCTGTTGTTCTTGTAGCTGATGGTTTCAATTTATTTACATGCATTTATTTATGTTATAATTCTGTCATTATCTGTCATATTTATACTGTATCTATAAACCGCTCAGAGTCGTGGTTTGCTAAGCCAAGTGATATACAAATTCAACAAGCGAACAAACTGCTCTCCTGAACTCCTCTCCCTGGCCCTATAAAGCTTTAAAAATCAGTATAAGGAGATTGGGAGGAGTCCTGAATAAGAACATATCTTACACTTGGAGAAACAAGCTGCGATCTGTAAACACACAAGTCAAATAAAATTTGTTGGTATTTAAGGTGCCACAGAACTCTTGGTTTTTACTTTCTGATGGCTGAAATCCAATAGCAAGTCAGAACCAGAGAAAGCCGATTGAATCAATAGGAATCTGATGAGTAAACTTCTCCAGTAATTCTGCAGATTTAGTAGACCTACTTTAGCTATGACTTACTACTAGATTTCAGCCATTACATCTTTTAGGGCAGAGAGGGAAAAGGTGGGATTCATTTGTGAATGTAGGGTCTCATAATGTCCTTTTCTCCTTTTTTTTCCAGAAGCACATAATACTACCAGTATCTTCAGAAAGCCTGATATGATCTGAGTGAACCTTTTCATCTGACCCAAACACTAAATCCATCCATTGTTGCATCATTATGACAGCCACAATCAAACTCATGCCACAGCTATGCCAACATGAAGAGGTCAAGAGAGAGTGCCCTCTTTCAATCCTGGAACAAACATGGCAGAAAGGTAAATTCCCAGGACTGGAGAGAGAAAGGATGTTAGTAAACCTAGATCTCTTAGCAGCGTTGATACTGTTGACCACTATTTCCTCCTTGGCAGCCTATAAAGTCTGGGGATTGGGAGCTTAGTGCTATGCTGGCCCCGATCCTTTTTGAGAGTCATGTCCAGATGGTATAGCTTGGGGATGCTGTTTCAATTCTGAGGATAGTCCAATGTGGGGTCCCACAGGGTTCGAGCATCTCTCCAATGTTGTTTAACATCTATTTGAGGTCACGGGGGAAGTCCTCTGGAGTTTGCTCTCATCAATATGCTGACACACAGCTCAGTCTACATCTTTGCTGGTGGAAGCTGTATGGTCCCTGAGCACTGCCTCAGTTATGGATTGGGCGAGGGCTAACAGGCTGAAATTGAATCCTGGCAAGATCTTAATTGTTGGGTGGGGATACTGAACGGTTAGGTGGTTCATTGCCTGGACTGGATGGGGTTACACTCCCTCTGCAGGACCAGGTCTGCAATTTGGGTGTGTTTTGAGACTCATCCCACTTCATAGAGAAACCGATCTCGACTGTGAACCAGACGACAGATCACCTGTACCTCTACTAATAATGTACTTTTGTACATTATAATAATGTACTTTTGTACATTATTACAAAATAATAATGTAGCTGACGCAGATGACGCTTGCTGAAATTTGCTCGGAAAGTATGAATACATTTATACTTGCTAGTCTTCCACACCACTATTAAATGTACAGGAACCCTTTTCTCCATTTTACATGCTGTCGTGTATTCTCCTCAAGCTGCTTCTGAATGAAGGAATTTCCAGCAATCTTGCCATGTTAGTCTGTCTCAGCCTTGGGAAA